CCCTTGCAAGTATCAAAGAATGACACCCCAAACGTAGGTCTGGGGGAGCAGAAGAAAGACTCTTCTCTGCAGAAACTTCGGGACAGTACCCGAGATAAAGTCAATCACAATACAAAATGGAATAAGACTGACAAAACAGAGAACTGGAAAGAATTGTTGAACTGGGCCTATCAAAGCAGTTCTACTGGTGAAGCTAAACGTATCAAAGGCAGTAAGAAGTACTTATATAACACGAAGGGCAAATATCAACATTTCGTGGTCGGACAGAAGGTCTTAATTCAGCTACCCAAAGCCAACAACAAACTGTTCCGGCAGTGGAAAAGACCTTTTGCAGTACAGGAAGTTGTCAACAGAATGCAATATAAGGTGAAAGTGGATGGGACAACTGAGGTCTACCATACCAAACTCTTGAAGAAATACTTCGAGAGAGAAGAAAACCTTACAGGTGCAGCTATTGGGGTACAGGTGGACATAGCAGGTGTGGCTGTCATAGATGCAGAACCAGAAGACAGTGACTTCATTATAGAAAATGAAGACCTGTTAGACTCAAGACCACTGGGTGGATATGAGACGTACAGGGATATCAACATAAGTAAAGAACTGACTGGAAAGAAGAAGAAAGAGGTAAAGGATCTACTGTCAATATACAGATAGATTAGGAAAGACAGATCTCGGGCAATACAAGATCAAGATGAAGACAAGGGATCCTTTCAAGGTGAAGCCCTACTGGAGAGACCAACAAAGAAACTGCAAATGTTGGTGCAGACTATATGAGGAGTCTTAGTGTGAGAACTGAGAACAGTCTTTGTATATAGTGTAAAAAATGTTAATATGTTTATTGAAGTGGGGCTTATTCTTTGATATACGTGACTGTTTAGCTAATATTTATTATTTAATTTATACAATATTTAATGAATATTTAGTTTTCATAACAAGAGTGTTAAAAGTTAATTATTTGAAAAGTAATAGTTATGACAAATTTCGTTTCGTATCTCGGTAAGAGTCGTATGTTGTGTGTGAAGTTCAATTGGTGTAGTATGTGATTAGACGTAATTTAACCTTGTATTTTGCATTTCGTTTTAAGATAAGCATGATGTTGATTATTTATAGTGATATAAGTATATATTTGATAAGAAAAACAAATAATAACCAGCGAATAGCAAATGTATAAAATAAACGTAACTTAATATTTAGTCAAAACTACTTTATGTTTAACTGTACAGTTGGAGTCAGTTCATAAGTGAATTCCACCTCCTTGTCTTTTTGGTAGGATTTCCTATTTCAAAAGAAACCAGAGATGACTAGCGCATAGAGCCCTCATGTAGCGTTGCACGAAATTCAAAACATACACGCATATTTTAAAGGTGTTTTAACATTTTGATCACCAGGGCTATGACGTGGCCCTCTTATGATTTAACATTTTGATAGCCATGATGTTGTCAGGTAATATAACACTACAATAAACAGCACTGTACTGTAGAGGTCACTTAGTGTAAAATTTCGACATCTATCTGACCTCAGTTGATTAAAAAATTCGACGACCAGTCGTGTGATGAGTATTTTATTTGGTTTATCATTTAGACAATCACTGCTATGATATAGACGGCTTCTTTCGATTGAATATTTGAACGACCAGTCCTGTGATGGGGACTTTATTTGGTTTATCATTTAGAACATCAGTGCTATGATATAGATGGCTTATTTAGGTTGAATATTTCGACAATTAGTCCTATGATGTGGACCTTTTTGGTTTGGCGTTGCAATGACCAGCATTGTAATGTAAAACTGTTTATAATGCAAACCTTGCAAATATAATATCAATCCTTTATTAAATCACATATACAACATTTCGAGTTCTAGCAGTTTACTAGGTATAATTCGTGAAATTATAACATCTACCAATAAAGGAAAAACAAAAGCATTATACAAATCAACAGACAGAATCTTTGAAGCAAACTTATATATTCTTGTAAGTTAAATATACTTCTACGTTTCATTGTTGATATGGCTCCCTCAGTGGCACGATGGTATGTCTGTAGACTTGTACTGCTAGAAACTGAGTTTCGATACCCATGGTGGGCAGAACACAGATAGCCCTTTGTATAGCTTTGTGCTTAATAACAAACAAAACAAATAAATGTTATGAAATAATGTCAATGCGACCCCAAAGTTTGTTTTTTATGCAAGTAAAAAGAGGCAGATGTACAATCATGTGATTTGATATGCATATGTCTGCCATTAAAGTCCATGTCCACAAATGATCCTTTGGTTCTAAATATCTTCCACTGCTTGGGGTTATTTATGTGCTAAGAAGTAGCTTCTTAGGAAGTATCATTCTAGTTCAATCAGATCAGAGTATTCATGCTGGACAGTCCATTCACTCGATAGCCTGTTCTTTCAGGACAGTATTAAACAGATGGAGATGGTGGCTGTGTATGTTATCCATCAGAAGGAAGCTCTAGCCAACTGCTCCTGATAGACACGGTGGTTGTGTATGTTATTATCCATCTAGAGGAAGCTCTAGCCAACTGCACCTGCATATGGTAACATTAGTGATTGTAATACTAGCCAATTACACTTGCATATGGCAACATTAGTGATTGTAATACTAGCCAACTGCACCTGCATATGACAGCTATAGTGATTGTAATATTAGCCAACTGCACCTGCTGTAATATTAGCCAACTGCACCTGCTGTAATACTAGCTAACTGCACCTGTATATGGCAACATCAGTGATTATAATACCAGCCAACT